GGTGAAGACAATGCCAAAGAAATACAGGTCTACGAGCATAAAGCTTAATCACTCAACAGTTATTTGGTTGATTTGTTCCCTATGCAACGCTTTTGCATAAGTGGATGGATAAACGTCGTTCACTATAACGATTGATTTGAAGCGCTTATGAGATCCGAGCCCTTAGGAGAGACTTTACCCTTTGTTAACCCAAAAAGTGATGATTGCTCTTACCCTGAACTACTTTATCAGATTACTAGTGATTAGGTTGAAAGAATACTGTGTTTTATATGAACAAATACATGAATTTACAATTGTGAAATCAACGGAACCATGCGGCCTAAAAATTGTTGGTTTAGTTTAAACAGTTAAACATTGAGTGTTCTGGTTTGTTTCGTACATGGTAAAATACGGTGTTAATCGGCGAAAAGCCCTCCATCAGGCAAAATATTTTATAATTTTAAAGGCTGTGGATTTGAAAAAACACTAAATGACTTCAATGAGAGTACGAATTCCACTCCTGAAAGCTTGACATCATTGGCTTGATTCTAGCTCTAGTCTTTGTATGATAATGCGGTACTTTTCACAGACGCTCAAATTATTTAAATCAAACAGTTCGCGTTGGAAATTCACTGACCAGCATACATGTGTGAACGTGTCCGTGCTATAAACGTGCTGCGTACTGATAGAGACGAACAAAAATGAATTTCCCCTTTTTGAACTGTTTTGATAGGTTAGTGATCATTCTGAGCTGATCTCAATGCGTCTTTTTGCCTCTGATAATGTTATCTATCTGATTCTCAAATCCGTTTTTGCTCAACTGGGCACCGAATCAATGTTAATTTGTTGTAAATAAAATCTGTTCTATCCCCTTAACTTACCTCCTAACTCGTCATGCTGTAGGTCAACCACTACTGATGAAATCGGAGTATCCTGTACATTCTGAGTTATTCCATCTGCTGAGTATCAAAGAATCAGGAAAATCAATGCTATAAAGACTCACCAAAGCTTGTTTATTATTATTTGGAACAAAAATTTACTCTAGTATAAATACTGTTGCCTATACGAACACACAAGTGTTTCACAGGGACCTGTTGCTTCAGTTTCGGTTAGACCTGTAGATTCAACAGTCAGTACACGATCCGGGGAAAACGAGAACACGGTTAGTCATCAGCAAAATTATTGTAATAGAGACGATTTACGGTAGGCTATTTCCAGATTCCACCAATTACGTCGATAACATAAACCATTTGTGTTGCCAGTGTAGTATCGAGATCAAAATTAACCCTGTCATTGTTTGATTACTAACTGTACCGTTGTAATCTTTAGGGGAAAGTTTATTTCCCTAACTCTGAACTCATAGCTCCGTGAATCAGCACGATTCAACACGAGATGACAGTCATGAATTTGACAACTAAACTCAATCGATCTCCACAATAACCTCAATGAAATCAAACAGTTTCATTTCCAAATCTCACTGATATTTTATAGCCAAAAGCTCTTCAACGTGGTACAGTGTACAAAGCCCAGAATGCGTGATTATCTTACGCTATGGTCAAAAAAGGCGCCAAGTGATAGTTTCCTTCTTACGGTGACTATTCCGGAATGTGCGCTTTGCGTGTCCCTCTCGGGGTCCTTGAAGAACACGAAGTTTCGGAGTGGGGGTTGAAGTTGATAATTCTGTGCTACACTGGTTTGCATGTTCGTGAGGTTCTAGGCACGGAAACACACAATAAAACAACGGAATAATTAATGAATTCGGAAAGACAACAAGTGAAACCGAATTGGCATAAAACGGGGATTGGAGCTGTGCATACATGAAACATGTTAAAAAACAGCCCCGAGGGACCCGGTGCACTGGGACACAACATATGAGTCCTTGCAGGCTAACTTTAAACTGAGAAAAAACTTCTGTTGTGCTCGATATTTCCACCAAATGGTTTCCGAACAATGCGATTCCAATTTTATTTTGTTTGAGATTGTTCTTCAGTAAACTAAACTGACACACATTAGGCCTCATGCCATATACGCACTCTCTCATCACTAAGGTTGAATCAACAGCCCCAAAATTAATTTAATCATTTTCGAAATGTGTTAATTTTAAAAGGTATCGCTAAAAATTATCGCTTCAGTCGGAAAAAGTTTTCTCATGTACTCATGTACTCCTGAAGCTTTTCAGCTAGTGTGGAACTCACTGAAATCTGTTAATTGTTTGAAATAGTCTGCTGCATAAACGCAACCTGACGAATTGTACGTGTGCGCGATGAAATCGTTTAGATGAAACCATACACGGAGTCCAACCCGCACACCAACTTGTAACTTTGGGTACTCACAAAATAGACTATCCTGAATGATTCTGCTTCGCCAGTAATTCTTGTTTGCGTCTAAATATGTCATCCAGGTTGGGGGATTTTATATCATGTGATAAAATTACTCTATACTCCTTGTAATGAGTGTCAAAATGTCCACGAGTAGCTTGATTGGATTTCACCTCTAAAACACGAGTGCTTTATGATGTTGTTTTCATGCATTCGATACCACTGATGGGAAGCAAAATGACGCTGCTGTACAGTTGTGCGGAACCGATATACCGTTGGAAATTAAAAATCCGTGGTTTTCTATAAATTTTGCCGGTTCAAATGATGGTAAACGTAGACAAAAAGATTACTTTCGAGCGTTTGGCTGTATATGCGATTTTTCGCTTTGGTGTAAAAGTGTTGCCTTTTAATATGTTCTCACTCATCCGAGTCTTTAAGGCTTTTTGCGAGAAATATATGGTTCTAAGGAAAGCATCAAGGATTGCGAGAATTCCCGGATTCATCATATAGTTTAAAAAAGCCTTGTGCCAAACCTCAAACAGTTGGGCTGAGAATGTCAAATCTAGTCTGAGTTGACTCGTACTGAGCGGGAGCGTAAAAATCTTTGACAAGCAGATAAGAATACTTTCATCCCCCATCCCCCATTGAAGATGATAGATTTGTAACAGGAAACCGCATAAACAATGTTTTCATGCTGAATTTGGTAGCATGTACGTTGGTTAATAAATATCATTTAAATATAACTATGGAGACTGAACTTTTGTATCCCACGGTTGACTTGAACGGCACTGAGTGATCGGTTTTCCTATGGAGATA